AAAAAAAAAAAAAAATTTGTCTGGGCATGGTGGTACAAGCATACAATCTCAGCTACTTGGGAGTCTGAGGCAAGCCTAGAAAACTTAGCAACATACTGTCTCAAAATTTAAAATGGGCTGGGCTGAAGCTAGGTGGTGGAGTGTCTGCTGAGCATGTGTTAGGCCCTGGCTTTAATCCCCAGCACTGCGAATAATAATTATTATTTTTAAAATCATAGACTGATTTTTGAGGATATTATTCAAAACTGACTCTGCAAATTATGGAAAAACAGCAATGAGGACTGCTGCCAGATGCCCCGGTCCTCTGCAGTACCGAGGCACTTGGAAAGGACTCAGCTGCATATCAAATGGATCTTTTATTGAAGATGATTTCGCTGGACCAAATTCCAACAGTGAGAGGACGCTGAAAGGCAGAGGACTGCGCGCGAGGCTGCAGTGCGTGGCCAGCTTCCCCAGGGAACACTAAGGGGGATTCTAACCAACAGCTGTGTTCATCAGGACTGGAACCTTTGGCAACTGCCACCGGAAAGCCCTCGAGAGACCACTTTATTTTGAATACTGCAGTTACTAACGCTAAAACAAGAGGAGGAAAGCATGCCAAAAAACTCAAGTGACCACAACCAACTCTTGGACTGTTGTCCCGCATCTTGCTGTAACTCACCAACACAGGCTCAGAGGTTGAACACACTTCCTTTCTAGGTTACGGTCCAGAAGGAACAAAGAGCAAAGAGCACCTGCCCCAAAGTCACCAAATTGGGCTGCTGGCTCATGCTTCGCATCTGGGTGTGTCCCTTGTTCGCCAGAGGTCCCCGCCCTTAGGGATCCTCAAGCATTCAGAGCCTTGCCTCCTCCCAGGTACGCACACTTCAGCAGGCTCCTGGGCTTCCCAGCCTTTGTCCCAACCAAGCCTCTTATCCAGCTAGTCAGTAGTCTCCCTCTGCTGCCTGTCTGACAAACATACAACCAGAAGCAATCACTCTAGACAGTGATGGTAGACTCTACTATCTCAAAAATCTAAGAGTGGCCTGGGAGATAGCTCAGCGGCAAAAGTGCTTGCCTGGCAAGTGCGAGGTCCCAAGTTTGATCCCCAGTACTGAAAAAAAAAAAAGCTAAAAGGAAGGCCTTTCTTTTTCTTAAGACAGGGTCTTGCTACATAGCTCAGGCTGGCGTTGGTCTTACTATGTACTTTGGGCTGGCTTCAAACCTGTGATGATCCTCTTGCCTCAGCCTCCCTGTTGGTATTACAGGTATGCACCACCACACCCGGCTTCAATGTTTTATCCACAAAGAAGTGATGATATTTAAGGAGATAGGTATGTTTAACCTGGTTATATACTCTATACGCATATGAAAATAATCACATGGTACACTATTAATAAGTATAATTTTTGTGAGTAGCTCACTGTGAAGGCCCAATACCACAAAAAAATACAAAGATTAAACACACACACACACACACACACACACACACACACACACACGAAAAGCAAAGGCAACTCAACATTTTCCTTGAATTTAATTTACTAAAGTTAATAAGTCATAACCAAATAGCAATGAACTTTTATACATTATATATATACAAGCTTATTTCTACATAAAATTTATACTTTATCATGAAGCTACAGATTCTAAACTTCATTTTCATGAGAAGAAAAATAACTATAGATTAAAAAAACAAAATCAAAAGCTCCAATAAAACTAAAATGCACAAATTCAGCTGAATGTCCTGTATCATGAATGGCACAGCAGCAGAGTGTAATAATATTTTTAAGTAGAAATACTCCCAGCACGTGTGCCTATCATGTGTCGGGCACTTTCCTGAGTGCTAGAATTACAAAGAGAAGTGTGTCTCACAAATATGAGTAAGTTATCAAAAGGAAAAGGTTAAATAATCATTGTTTTCTGCTGTTTGCCAAAGAGGAACCAGTAAAAAATGCTTAGGCAATTAAAGAGCTAACTTCTAAATTCATGGGAAAATGGCTCAAATCCTGGGTTCTTGCATAAATTGAACACTGAATTAACATTGTACTCCTGTCTTCCCCCAGAGACATGGTACGAGGGCAAAAATGCTGTTAAAATATTTTTTTCCAGAGACCTTGCAGGTAAAAATAGTAATATATTCCTTAGACTATAATCCCAGCACTCTGGGAGGCTGAGGCAGGAGGAGCCAAAGTCCAAACTAAGCCTGAGAAACTTAATGACAGCCTGTCTGACAATAAAATATTTTTTTTAAAAATGTGCTGGGGAACGGGTGGCGAGATAGCTCAGCTTAGCAAGCTTAGGCAAGCAGTTCGATCCCCAGTACCACAACCTGTGACAGCCCTGCCCCTAGGGCCGACAGAGCCTGCCAGAGTCTGGGCATAGTGGCACATGCCTGTAATCCCAGCACTCGGGAGCTGAAAACAGGAGGATCACCATGAGTCTGAGCTGCACAGTGAGACCCTGCAACAACCAAATACATTAAAAAGACAACAAAACATGCAGAGGGTGTAGCTCAGTGCAAAGGCCCTAGTTTCAACGGACCTCAGAATTCCAAGACAAGCAAAAAAGCATACAACTTCATTAAATATTTGAATACACACACAAGATAGTATCTTGGAGAAACATACCCTGTAGGTATGAAGCTGATAGGTGCACATTAAACAAACCAGCCACGATGTAATGCACCCAAGTGAGAATGATGGAGTTTTTAATAAATAGTGGAGAAGGCTCTGCAGCAGAACACAAAACACACCCTAGACACTGTAAGTCATGATCATCCCGTCAAAAATTATTTTAAAGTTACAAAATGTAGGACTAGGTGATCTTTGTTATTTATACCTCTGAAAGATTATTAGGTCCCAAGGAGGGATGTAACGAATTCCCATCAAAACATCAGACTGCTACAGTGACATGATATATCCACAGCATTGTGTAAAGACCCCACTAACTGAAAATAGGCTGCACTGCGGAAAGCCAGAGCAAAGCCAAGAGGCACACAGAGCAAGCAGACTCCTCCTCTATAGCTGATGAGCTATCAGGGACTCGGGAGACAGGAGCAAAAGAAGGACAGCAGCAGTTTAGATAAACCTGTAAGTCGGGGTGAGAAGCAGGCAGGAGTGGGGCCGGCTCCCAAGCCCCGGAGCCCAGTGCTACATGAGAACAAAGGCAGAAGGCAGGAGGCAACGGCTCCCGGCTCCCGGCTCCCGGCTCCCGGCTCCCGGCTCCCGGCTCCCGGCTCCCGGCTCCCGGCACCCGGCACCCGGCACCCGGCACCCGGCACCCGGCACCCGGAGGGGGATGAGTCACGGAGGAGCTGCATCCAGACTTGACCTGCCATTCTCCGAAACTCTCGCAGACAAAAAGAACATTAAAGGGCCACGTCAAGGAGGAATGTGAGGTTTTCAGGCTTGAGGGAACAGAAAAGTTACTAAGAGAAGAGAAAGATAATTTGCTTTGTGGGAAAAGACAAAGTGACTGTGGGGTGGCAGGGGAGCTAAGCAGGTATCTAGGGAGCAGGTGGAAATACTGTGCTGGCACCGCCATGGGGAATCCCGAAGCACTGCAAGGCTGGAGAGATAAGCTGGTATAAAAATAATGCTATCATGTACTCTACCTAAGCAAGAAATACAAAAATACCCACGCAGAAAAAAAATTTGCAGTTTTTCTAACAGTTCGCCCTGCTTTATGCCTCCAGGCTTCTATGCTCGAGATGCCCTGTAGTACTACTTAGACATGTCACCCA